TTATTGTTCAATATTACTCATTACGCTGTGTGATAGGGTGTTCGGTGAAGTGATCGTCAATGAAATGATACGTATCCGTTAGTTTTGTATTGGAATGATCGTGTTTTCTATAGTGATTTACTGTAAAAAATTCTGGTTTACTGCACTTACGAGCTATAATGAAACAAGTTATTTATAGTCATTAGTTGCGATTGACATAAGTGGTAATCGAATTATTATTTACTTCTAAGCTTTTTTTAAGCTACTAAAATTTCCAAATGCATATCATACTTACCACCTCATAACCAATTCATAAGTCTTATTTGCCCATACGTCATTTGGCTTAATTCTTAATAATTTATTTAAGTCAGTGATTGACTCATTATACCTTTTCATCATATAATTGATTTCTCCTCGATATTTTAATGCTATTGTATTATTTGGCATTATTTCTAGCAATCTAGTGAAATCTTCAAATGCTTCATCATATTTGCCATAATAAAATATATTTTTCCACGGTATGTTAATTCAAATATATTAATTGGTTTCTTTTTTGTTTTTAGTGATTTTGTTAATTCGTCGGTTAAATCAGCAAGCGTATTTTCATGTCCACCCATAATAAAATAATCCCTTTCTTGATATTCTAATGCCAATGCATTATTATTTGGTTTTAAACTAATATTTTAATTAGTCATTGCTGCAAATTAATATATATATATAGACAAGATTAAACTTTAAATAAGCTAAAAACGAATAACCTCTTTGAACAAATTTACCATAGTATTTAAATTTTTCTCTGCCAAAATTCACTTCTATTGACCCGCCTTGCGATCTAAATCCAATACAAGGATATAGAATACCTTTGAAATCGCTATGTAGATGGCACACAATTCCTTAAAATATTTTAGAATTATTAAAATTTTTATCTATTTACTTTGAAAAATATGAACTTCAGTTTCAAAATTGTTGATTACCCAAGTTAATTCCATTTTTAGTATAAAACAACATCTTAATTCTAAAATTTAGATAGCATCCAACAACATCATCTGTAGTATATCCAGGAGGATCTGATAAATCATATAGCCTGCCACTTCCTGAGCAAAAAGAATATCCATCGTCACCATGGTAACTACACCCCCATGACTCATTTTTCATATTTTCCTGTCCTAAAAAATATGACATAGGTGTTAATCTATAATAATAAGAAAATAAAGTAAAAGTTTGCTATTACCAGGCATTTGCATATTATTTATATAATTTGAATCATCTATTTTTTTATTGCATTGCTTTGTACAATATCCGATTCCGATCATTCTATTAAGAAAATAGAATTAAAAGGTTATAAAAATCACCAGAACAAAGGTGATGCATATGGTACGAAATAATTATTAATATTACCCATTTTTTCCTTTATTTATAATTATAATTTCAAAGTAAAATATCCCACACTCTGAAGGGATTGGATTGTTTGCTCGAACGATTACAGAATTATAGTCATCAGGATCTTTAATTAAAAGGTTTTTAATAAATTAAATAGTTATGATGATATTCTTTTAAATGCCGATGATTGCAGTAACATATTAAATATGTTTCGGCGAGATTTCTCATTTTCATATTATCTGTATAACATACTTTAAGTCCACTTGAGTCTATGTTAATAAATGGGGATTTATCTTCAATATCCCATGCAGTTGGTAAAACCAATTCCATTGCTGTAAGTTAAACTTCAATTCCGATCTTTGTTAATGAACAAAAGTAATTTATAGAAATATTTTGAACACAATACCAGGAGCGGAGTTTGTACAACGTACAACGTAGAGTACCAGGAACGGAGTTTGTACAACGTAAACGTAGAGTATGGTGAAATGGGGGGTATAGAAATTTCGTACTGTATGATAGAAAAATTTGTACTGTACTCTTTTTTCAATTGTTCATACAGTACCATACTCACCTTATTATATTATAGAATATATAAATAAAAGGTGTATGGTACTGTTTGAACAATTGAAAAAAAGAGTACAGTACGATACAAAATTTGAAAAATTTTATTTGCTATTTGGATGCATTTATGCGATTACCTGTGCAGATTCCAAAGTTCTTGTGTATTACTGCTACAGAATTCAAGTCACTAGATGCTGTAACGGTAAACATCTGAACTTTAAAATGTCTATTCTAAAGTAATTTATTCATAGCATAAATAAATATTATCAATTAAAAGTTATTTATTTTTTTATTATACAAATTACCTAATTTTTAGCAAGCAAAGAAATTTAATATTTTTATTGCAATAAAATCATTACATAAAAAAATTTATTGTAAGCATCTATTTTAGCAAATATATCATAAAATTAATAAAACTAATAAAACTATTAATTAATTATTATTAGCTTCAGAATTATATAATGATTTAAGTTGTTGATGAAGTCTAATTTCTCTTTCAAGTTCATCGTTCAAATTTTTTTGAATTGTTAATTTTTTATAATCAATATTTAATAGTTGTTCTTGTTCATATGTTATAGAAGAGTTAAAATTTAAACTTTTATTAGAACTAGATTCTTTATTATAGCGAGTTTTTTTTGTAGATTTTGTTGCAGATGATTCAATCAATTGTTTTGTATGTTGTTTTTCTAAAATATAAAAATTAAATTAACTTTAAATAAATATATAAATTATTATAATATAATATAATAATATATTTACATTTTCTTTTAGCTAATTTTATTGTATGTTGTAATGAAGATTTATTATGATATGAATCTTGCACATTAGTTTTTTCATAAGTTATTGCTGTACTCTATTGATGAGAATCAAAATTTGCAGATCTAAATAATAAAAATTTTATTTATTTAATTTATTTATATATTTTAATAAAAATAATAAAATATATTAAAAATAATACCTTTGAATTGCAACTACTAATAAAAGATTATGACCAGTTCTATTAATTGTTGCATGTGCAGATTTACTAGCATTAGTTGTAAATGGTGTATTAATCCAAATATTATGTGTCATTTTAGTAAATACAGATGATAATGTGACTAAAATCCAATTTTATTTTTTATCTTGAACCTAATCTAAAAAATATATATTAGTAATTTCAAAAAATAATAATATTTGAAAATAATAATAATAAAAACCTTTAACAATTTTAATTTTACATTTTTCAAGATTATTTAAAATTTCAATTATTTTATTTTAAAATTTTGCTTGTAAAATTGAATACATTTTTTTTTTAATTTCTTTTGGAATACCAACTTTATTTCTGATATTTCTATAAATAAATTTTAATAAAAATTATATCATACTAAAAAAATAATTTAATTTTAAAGTTTACCTTTTAAAATATACAATACAAATTTTATAAATATATTCTAAGTGCTCAGTTGGACTATATATAGGATATTTTTAATTTAAATATTGACCAAGTTCTATAAATTTAAGTTTTAGAATAATAATATTTTATAAAAAAATTTATTATAAACAATTATCATAAACTAACCCAAAGCTTGATCATAATGTTCATCTGCAAAAATACATTCAATATCTTGATTATGAATATAATGAAATTTTATTGGTTTTTTAGTATCTTGTTCAATACATAAAAATAACTCTTCAAATAATTGTTAATATGCATTGGCAGTTTGTAAAATAGTAAATACTCATGAAAAGTAAGAGCTTAAAAAATTAATTAAAAATAATATTAATTTTTATTAAAATTAAATAATTATAATTTAATAAAAAATTTATACTTTTTTGATGATTTTCACTATATGTGCATATTTCTCATTCATTGATTGAACCATGAACTCGTTTAAATGATATATCTATTTCAGTATATTTAGACTTTCTAAGACCTTCAATTTGTTGTTTATATCTACATAATATAAGATATTGCTATCATTAAGTAATCTTTAAATAAAATTATTATTAATAAAATTATAATTTAAAATAAATAAAATTAAATATTTTTAAATTTTTACTTACTAATAGTTCTTATATAAGGATTTTCATTATTAGATTATTTCATTAATAAATATGCAACACCATAAATATTTTGTTTATAAGAATGTTCTGCATGTTTTTTAGATGCAATCAATGCATCAAGTTTTGAAAAATTGTTTAAAGATGAATGTAATTGAGATAATAGAACACCTTTTAAATATGAAATTAATATAGGTCCTAATAAAATAATAAAATATTAATTATTTAATCTAACTTAATAACAAAATATTAAATTAAAAAATACTTATGGCTTAAAAGTTTATGTGCAGTAAGATCTAATATATTCTCATTATAAATTATATCTTTTAAATTATTTAAAATTGATACAGGTGTTTTAACTGATATTGATGCTAGATAATTATGAACTCCTTTTGATAATATAATAATAAACAGACATTCTTCAAGATTTGTAGATACATAATGCCAGAATTAAACAGAACATTTTAAATTAGATTTTTGAATAATTCTATAAGTAATTTCATTGTTTGTAGTTATATGTAAATATGCTATAAATTATAAATTAATATTTATTAATATTTATATATTATAATAATATTATATATTTAATTATTTAACTTACAACATTTTTTTTGTTGAGTGCTAAAAGGAAGTATAGTATAACAATATTGAATAGTATCAGACTAAAAAATTTAGATATTTATTAATATAATATATAATAATTATATAGTACATAACACTTAAAGACCACATTTGTCCCATTTTGGGATCTAAAACTAAAATATACCAAAAAGTCAATTTATATAGTATTTTCGAATGTTTCCACTGATCACATGATCTGACCAATCATTTGTTATAGTAAAATAATACTAGAATAAGCTAATGCATATGTATAATATTCGCTAGCTTAATATAAGAAATGGTAATTTAAATCTACCTTGAAACATTAGCAAAAATAACAAGAAAGTAATTTTATTTATAAACTTTAATTTTTATTTAATCTTACATATTGTTAATATGATTTAAAGTCATAAATATTTCAACTTTTGTAAATTGTTAAATTGATAAAACTTTTTGGTACAATATAAGACACAATACTGTAAATACCATCAAGTATTTATTTGTTTTTGTATTCTGTATCAAATCATATAGCCTAAGCTTGCTACCTACATGTGTACATTTCATATGATTGTTAAACTATATAAATAAATATATATAATCAGTTCAACATGCATCTAATATAAAGAGTGTGCTGGGGTGACTACCAAAAGTCTGAATCAGTTAATAAAATGCCACAGCTATATATATCTTAATAACAGATAGTATATTGCTTTGTTATATATTTCAATTTAGCTGTATGCAGAAGTTAACTGATTTAACAATTTTTAAAGAAATTATGCAATGGCTCCTAATCCAGACTTTTGGTGGTCACCCTGGCACACTCTATAATAAACCATACAATAAATAACTAACTTTTTATAAATCTTGAGAATTATCTTTAAAACTATACAAGGTTTTGAATACAACTGTGCTAGATGGTTTACAGGCTCAATTTTTTTGATTTTTCGAATAGCATCAAACCAGGTTGCAAGAAATACGAAGCCAAACCTGAAATAGCTTTTATGTAGCATTATATACAAAATTTAGTAATAAATTTAAATAATAACTTTCAACATAATGATACAAAAAAGTTAAGGACTTCACAATTGCATCAAATATTATTTATTTTCACCTTTCTGATCTTAAATTTAAATTTAAAAAAAATTATAAATTTAAAAAAAAAATTTTTTAAATTTTAAAAAATTTAAATTTAAAAAAACTGCCTCCAAAAAATTTAAATTTAAAAAATTTAAAATCCATTCATTAAGACTGATTAAATTAGACTGTAGACTGATTAGAGAATAGAATAGGTGGAGTTGGACAAACCAGATAAAGCTGTATGATTCTTAATTAATTATAAATAACAAAAATTATAATTAATTATTGAACAGTCAATTATTATATTATTTCTTTCTACTAAACATCCCATTATAACCTTTTATTATTATTGTATACTTTGTCATTATTTTCTTGAATGAATAAAGCTAGCTCATTCTTTGATATTCGCCTATGCGATTTAAATTTCTTACAGGCATACTCAGCTAATTTTCCTGTCAATCTCTCATGATACAATTCCATATATCTTCATGATTTTTGAGCAAACTTCCTTATTGTAATAATATCAACTGAATCTAATGCACAAGAAACAGTTTGTTGCAAATCAGTCTAAGTATAATTGCAATTATCTCTAGTATAACTCTTAGCAGACCCCCAATACATTTCAATAAAGTTGAGTTCATAGTAAAATTTTGGATAAAAAACATATAAATAACCTACACCTTCTATTAGTTCCACAATTGCTGACTTTTGTACAATAAAATCAGGTTGAGATGCTATTATTTTTCTTGCACAACAATCTATTTGTAAATTATCTTTTGCCAATTTTTTATCTTTACATGTTTTACATTCTAAAAGCAACCTATTCTTCCAAAGCCCTCTCTTCTTTAATATTAATTTAATATCTTTTGACTCTCCTCGCATATTTTCATTATAATCTTTATCTTCTTTGAATCTATAGTCTTCATTAAATACTATATGTTGGATGTTTTGTCATCCATCAGCATCTACAAAAGTTGTCAATTGCATTTTTGATTGGTTTTCTCCAGGTTTTAGATTCATTCTTGCAGCAATAAAAGCATCCTCTGCATATGCTCCATGGTTTGTACTATTGTCGAAGGCAAAGATGGCTATTGCGTTAGAAAAATTTGCTTTAAAAATAGGAATCACTTTATCTCTAATTTGTTCTAGCAAATTATTGACTGTTCAGAAACCTTTTTGGTTTTTTTCAGTCATTAAATAGCAGCATGCTTCTATGGGAATGTTCAGATGCATTCTTGCCTCTTCTTCACTTAATTTCAACTAACCACATTCTTCTAAAAGAAACTCACTCACCATAATTGATCTTTCATTTTCTTTTTTTCACAATGGCATGTTCCCATCTAGTACCCAAATCCCTCATTTTCTGTTATTTGAATAAAAAATACTCTCATTATGTGTTACAAAGATTAATTCTCATTCATTTTAAGTACTGAAGAAATTTTTTCCATGTTGTTTTCTTCATATCTGGAAATAACAAAAAATTTAATTAAAATTTTTTTAAAAAGATTATTAAAGTCAATGTTAACATTCTATCATTCTATTATTATCCCCTAAACTGTTTTTTAGGCAAATTTGCCTAGAAATTTCATGATTAATCTGTGATTAAGCTATTAAATTATATTGATTTGTAGTTTAAAGCATAGTAGATATGTAGTTAAATTGACAGTTTAAGGGATATTGTAAATGCTTTATATATAAGATAAAACTTATTATCAGGCTTTTAATTATATTTTGTGTCCAGTTTGTTCTTTAAGTGCTGTAATAACTTCTTACATAATGTAATTGAAAACCCTATAACAAAATTTCTTTAGATGGTATTCAGAAAAAAAAACTAGATGCAAAATATAAATAAAAGTCTAATGACAGGTTTTTTCTTGATAGCATTTATATTGAAATAGATTAAATTATTGCAGATATATAGTTTTGCTTTTTAATCTATTAACAATTATTTAATAATTACAAATGAGGTTGGGCTCTATAGCTTAATTGTTAAGCTGCCAACTCTCTATAGACAAGATCAACAGTTCAAGTTGGGCTGGAGGCAAAATTTAAGAATTTTAACTCTGTAACCTAATATAGGTGCCAAATTGGATGCGAAGCCCTGTGGTAAGTTCCAAGGTGAAGTACAAGAATGGATTAGAAATTCCTGGAAGGAGATCAACATTGCAGAGAGAAGGCACTAAGTGTAACAGTGGTGTTACAGAAGGTTCTACTACTAAAAAGTGTTGCACAGATAAGTCCTATTGAGACAAAATAGCACCAACATCTCTGTACCCAACTTGCAGAGACTTGATTGGAAGAGTAATACTAATGTAGTTAAAACTGGAGTGGTGAGTAAAGCGGTGCATGCAAAGAAGATCTGTGGCAAAGGATTGGTCTAACCAAAATTGGAACATCTTAGGCAGGTACTATAAACCCTTAAGAAGCAAAACAATAATCATACATCACAACATCATTGATAGTTACCATACCCATACATAATAAGTCAAGGTTCCAGGCCTCCTTGCAATACCAAATTGGAAGTACAATAGTACTACAACTATGGGAGTACAAAAAAAAGGGTATGTTGTAGCTGCAGATGATAATCCAGAATCTTGATAAATCTAGCTGTGCCAATTGGTACCAATACATGGAGGGCTGTGTACACCAAATTGGTAGTAAGAAGAGCAAAAAACCACCAGAGTCAACCAATTTGGAAGAAGAAATGGGTTACTGCAGGAAGTAAATAGGGGGACTATAGTTAGATAGAATTAGGGAATATAGTATTACAAGGTGGCTACAACCTTACCTTAATTAGTAACAATAGTTAAAACACTATAGTATTAGTCTTAATTTAGGAAAAGTGTAGATATAATGATATGTTAGATGTCTATATAGTAATATAGTAGCACAAATGGAATATAATAACTCAAATATATTAATCTGGTATTAATTAAATAAAGTATTATGATTGACATTATAAAAAAAAAATAATAATAATTACAAATTATTTAAACCAATTTTTTATATATAGCAAAAAAATACTTTATTATTCTATTTGCAGATCAAAATATTTTAGCAGTCAACATTGATTAAAATTATCCTAAAATGTGCATGTATCATTTCCATCATACCTTGGCATTCACTGTTCTAAAATTGTTATTTCTTCTAAAATTTTTTTTCGATAAACTACTACATCATTCCACTCATGTCCATCAAGATACATACCTAGAATTACAAAATTACCATAATCTGTATAATAAATGTAACATAAAAATGTAATTTTTATAATACAGGCTTATATATATCTTGCTGGTATCTTTTAAATTAGAACTTCAAAATGTTTAATCACTGTTCAGCTGTCTGCAAGCTGATTATTTTTTTTGTTTCTCCTATATGCTCTGGAAGAATAATGTCATTAACATATTCTTGAAACTCAGATGAATCAACACCATTTAATTTAGAATTTTGTCATATCTACTGTTTACATTGCATTGCAATGTTTTCATCATCAACAAGTCGCATGTGTTTTAGATATTTACCATGTTGTGAAAGTAAAAATGAACTATGATACAAATAATACTTGGCTAAAGACTAAATTCTTCTGAATGTATATGGTTTTGGTTTGATGTAGGTTTTATATATGAACTCTTTACTTGCTTCTTTTTTTCTATACCTGCTCTTCAACAATACAAGATACTCATAAACTGCTTGATGTTTATTATATTCAGAGGCTGTAATTAAATGTCCATTTTTTACCAAATATTCATAAAGTTGGTTGATTCCTTCATATGCCATGATAGATGATACTTCATTTGTTAAAGATGTACTAAAATTGCTTAAAAATTTTTTTAATTAGTGTTAGTAACTGTGATAAAGTCTAAAATATTTTGGCAAATTAATAACAAATAAGAAAAATTCACTAACTTTGTAGCTTTAAAAAAACTTGTAATCTTATGAGTTTCTTTAGCCGCATTAGTAAGAATGCTGAAGGCACCAAACTTATAATAATAAGTTGTTTTTGATAACCCTTTTACCATTCTTGTCTTTTTTTTCTTTATCTTGCATATAGGAGTTACAGTAAATAAGTGTTTATATGTCTTTTCATCTTCATTGTTTCTGTTCTCATTATCCTCCTTTATATCAAGCTCACTATCCTTTTCTAAATCTTGTGCAATTTCTTCTTCAGCTTTCTTCTCAACATTCACCTCAACATCCTGCTCAACATTTATAACAACATTCACCTCAACATTCTTCTCAGCATTTATAACAACATTCACTTCAACATTCATCTCAGCATTCTCCTCAACATTCGTCTCAACATTTGCCTCAACATCCTTCTTAACATTCACCTCAACATCTCCCTTAATATTCACCTTAACATCCTCTTTAACATTCATCCAAACATTCTCTTTAACATTTCTTTCAACTTTTTCTTCCTTTTGCCATCTTTCCTCCACTAGCTCTTTTCTTCATTTATTATATTTTTTGAGTATGTTATTTAATTTTCTTTTCGTCATATTTTATTAAAACACCTAATATTGTATTTCTTATACAGATTCTTATCACATAAGAGGTATATTCATACATACGTGTATTCAAGTAGATTATGCTTCGTATTGAGGTGCTAAAGCCACACAAGCTATGCAGGTTCTTCTAGGGCCAAGCTATGCAGGCTCTTCTAGGGCCACACAAGCTATGCAGACTTAGGAGCTATACACAAATTGGTTTGTATATGAATTAGTTACTAAAGAGTCACACACTAATTATATTCGTATATAGGTTATCAAACTTTTAAAATTTTTGTGTAAAAGCAAAAAACTTTTTTTTTTGATCTTTATGACAGCTATCTTTGTCACGTGCTTTCATTAACCAATCAAAATGTTATACTCAAAATATTTAATTTATTGGTCAATGTATTTGTCCCATTTTGACCAATTTTATATATTAACATATAAAATTTGTAACTTTTTAAATTGAATTAAGTTAAAAATAAATAATCAACATTAAAAAAATAAAGCTGCTAAGTTGTAATATATTGATTTAGTTACAAAATAGTAGCTTTTTTTTTTTAGTATTATCTTTATGTTAAAAGTTGTTAGTTTTTAAAATTTGTGTAGTCTTTTAGTGTCATGCACTATATACAAGATACTTATATCTGACTAGCAATATCTTTATTTCTTCAAAATTGTAACTAAAGAACTGGTCAAATTAATAGTAATAGTTACCAACATGGAAGTAAAAGAATTAGAGTTCAGGTTACTACAACTGCTAGGCACAAAAAAAGCTTAAACTATGATTCAAAAAAATTTGACAAGAAAGACCAAAAAGTAATGTGTATAATAATATAAATGAAACTGAGATTCAAGAGAAGTCTGACTGTTTTATTATGCCTTTGCAAAAGAAGTGACAAAAAAAGCATGCTCATAATTTGCAACAAGCTTTAGTAGAAAACTGACTCAATAGAGTATAATACTATTAAAAAAAAAATCAAAGTATTTTAAACTATAAAAAAAAGAATTAAGATTTACATTTATCTGCACATGTTATGCATTAATTAAATTTTTTTAAACTATTATGATAAGTTCATTAAAAAAACTTTTAATATGTACATACATACATATTATAAGTTTACCAAAATTCTCATATGTATCATTTTGACATCAAATTTTAAGCACATTAAAATTTCTTTAAGATTTTTGTTATATGTATTAACTTTATAAAAAAAAAAAAAAAGAAACTTATTCAAGTAACTTTTTGTATCTTTGTTTCGTAAGAAAAAAATTTTTTATATAAAATTATTATGATAATAGAAATAGATTCGATAAATAGTCTTCTATGAATATGTTTACTATAAAATTTATTAAAAATAATACAAACTCACGTATCATTTATATTAAAGAAACTTCATCAGATTTTAATTTGTTTTGTATAATACAATATGCATATATATGTATAAAATTTGCACTTGTTGATTGAATATCCCAATGATCATTATTTTGTTACTTAAACTAAGCACAGATTATAATTATGCCCATTATATATAAGAATTTTTATTTAGAGTTCTTATTTTCATTTTTGGGCCTTTATATGCAAATTCCCCTTAATAAAATCTATTACTCATAATTCTGGTCAAAATTGCAGATCATTTGACCATATTTAAAGTTGTTTTGTTCTAGACCTGACTAAATGATTTGCAAATTTGATCAGAATTATTAATTTACTGATATGCAGAAAAAAGTAAAAAACAATCTTGGAGCACTAATTAAAAATGATAGGAGCCCAACTTTACACATATAAAGTAGATGTTTTTTATATATAGACGTGAAATCTAATGAGTAAAAGTCTTTAGAAACTGAGCCTGTACAAGCTGCATAGCTTTCACAGTAGATTCATCTTTAGTTTTAACTGTAATAGTAGTATAATTCTAATTAATTTAAGAATTATTATAATCTATCCAATAGAATTAAGACTGAGCCTCTTTTTTTTAAAAACAACATTTGTTTAAGTTACTAAACATCATATTTAATTTTCTTAAAAATATATGAAAATATGCAGATGTTTCAGAACTAACCATTTTGCTTTTATATGATATAATAATATGGTCAGAACAGTGAACAATAATTTAATAAATGCATAGCAAAATTAAAAGCCAAGATAATAAACAGATCAATTAACATTATTTAATAATCTGAAAAAAATAATTTTCTGATTACAAACATCTAATTTGCATTTTTTTTTTATCGTATGTTAATAAACAAAAAGCTTTATTTACTCACAAAATTTTTTCTGGCATGTGACCATGGCCAATTAAATTGAAGGCATTTTTAAAATGTACCCAAGATATAAGCTCTTAATTTATGACCAAAAATAAATAAATTAAATATAAAATAGTCATCATGTGCCAACTAACTCTAACCCAAAAAAATTAAAATTTATTTAAAGGATTTTTTTTTTTTTTTAATATTAATGGTGAGGCCATGCCTCTATCTTTATTGAATATTTAATTGAAATTTTACATAAAGT